AAAACAAAACAAAACAAAACAAAATAAAAATAAAAATAAAATGGGAGCTTGCGCAGCCGGACACGTTCAGACACGTTACTCCTCGCTGGCTGTAGTCCTGACAGACAGCTTCACAGACCAACCCGCTGCTGGTTTCTTAAGTCAAGCAGAGTGGAACTCCTTTCGGATTTGAACTGTCTGATTTATTTATTATTATTATTATTATTATTTTCAACCCATGACCGGCCTTGTGAGCTCGCGCTGCAGACGAGGAAATGCGTGCAAACTTTAGCAGCACATAGACTTTTTTTGTTAAAAGCATGCAGCAGCTTTGAAATGACCACAGTAACAGTCAGTTTATTTTAAAAGTTAAAACTCTAAAAAGACGTAGTTTGACTTGTGTTTGACATAATCAGAGGTAAACTSATTCTGTGACTGCTGCTGCTGCCCAGAGTGACAGCAACGTCAGAACAGCTGCTATCTGTGGCTCAATGTACGTAAACGCTCATAAGCAGCCATTTGTCCATTAAACATTAATTACCCAATATGCCACAGACCCCACCTTCGCCCGATAATAMTGTATATACCCTGGTATTTTCTAAAGGTCATATGAAAATGAGCAATACCACCCAACCATAATCYGACTCTTTATGTAGCTTTATTTTTTCCAAAACAATGCCTTCTTTTTTGCYAAGTATCCTTCAGCCCAGGCCTGTACCAGACTTGTTTCCCTGTGAATAACCAGCTATATCAGCATCTCCGTAAGATCTTTAGTTTTGTTTTTGAGTCGATAAATACAACAACACAAAACCTTCYTGAACGGTATGATGGCAGGACAGACTCATGGTGTTTATACTTGTGTATAAGTGTTTAAACAGATGAAAAGGACATGTTTAGATAACTGGATGAACCAAGGATGACCCACAGCTGATACTGTCGCTGATTTCTTTTGGTTTTCCTGATGATGTCAYACAAAGAGACAGTGTGTTTGAGGCGTGCCATGCCATCATCCACAGGTGTGTTCCTCCATTTAAAAAAAGTTGTGAACTGATCTATCAAAAGCTTCCAAATCAATGACATCGTCATCRTCTTTGTTTAAAGGAATAGTCATCTCAGTGTATGTAAACATGTAACTCTGAAGAACTGCAGAGAAAAGCTGACATTRAGAAAATAAATCTTTGCAGAAGAAATGGAGTATACAGTAGTTACCTGGCATGGTTATATCTGTGTAGCTGGGCCTCTTRTCACTCAAGGATGAGAGCGGTTTGGTAGCYGATATGGAGCCGGGTACAGTGTGTCTCTGAAACAACAAAAACACATAAAAACATTAATTATCTACAGTTTATTGAAGCAGACAGAGTGTAAGACAGTACTGTCTCTGTGTGTGTGTGTGTGTGTATTTGTAAGTCTGTGGTGTTAGCAAAATATCTCATCATGAACCACAAGACCAGTGGCATCTCCAATAGTAGCACAGGTCCACGTCCAGATTATGAGCCACCAATCTCTGGACCCCACGACACCTAGTTAAGTTATCCCAGTTTGGGATGAAACAAAAGGTTTGGAATCCTCATCCCAGATCTTGATCTGGTCCAGTGTTTCCAGGTGTGAAAACCATCACYGTGTGCCTTTTGTTTGGCTAGCATGTGTTAAAAATCTGACAACAATGTACTGATAGGTCACAGACAGTTGACTGCTGTAGTGAGCGTGGCCACTAATGTTTTGTTTTTGCAATGATCTGCTCTAAGATTAGATACAAATGGCATGCTCTAAGTTCACCTGTAAAAAAGGAAAAGGTGGACGGCTAAAACCAGCAATTTAAAAAAAATAAATGGACTGAACAATTTGTATTTATTCATCCTCCAACCAGCACTACACTAATAAGACTAATTTACCAAGAAACCCAGGAGTTTATTAAAGCAAAGAAGTGGAATATTCTTGAAYGGCCAAGTCAGTCACCTGATCTCAACCCAACTGAGCATTTGACTTGTTTCAGACAGAARGGCCCACAAACAAACACCAACTGAAAACCGCCACAGTGAAGACCTGGCAGAGCATTAAAAAGGAGGAAACACAGCGTCTGGTGAYRTMCATGAGTTCAAGACTTCAGGCAGTCATTGCCAACAAAGGCTTTTCAACGAAGTACTAGAAATGAACAKTTTATTTACAATTATTTCATTTGTCCAATAATTTTAAAACCCCTGAATTGAAGGGATTGTGTTTAAAAGATGCTTTAGTTCCTCACATTTCTATACGATCATTTTATTAAACCCACTGAATTAAAGCTGAGAGTCTGAACTTCAACTGCATCTGAAATGTTTTGTTCAGATTTCATTCTGGTAATGTACAGAAYCAAAATGAGGAAAATATTGTCTGTSTAAATAGATATGGACCTAACAGTATATTTKTTATTTTGAATAAAAGACCATATAGCTTTGAATGACTGTTTTCTGTCTTGTGGATTGATGGATTACAATAAATGGACCTTTGACTCTTTTAAAAATGCKTTTGTGGACCTTCATTTGTATTTGAGAACTCCTACACTAGATAGATTTTAATGAAACTTTTACTGGATGAACAACGGCTCAATCACATTTAAAATGGCCGACACAGCAAAGCCACCTTAGCAAACACAAAAATAGCTACGACTCAGCTAACTTTACAGATACTGAGCTACAGTTTAGTCTTGAGAATCATCTTAAACTGACCTTTAACTCTCAGAGTCAGCTGTGTCTGTTAGCAGAAGACATCATGAACCACTGKATGGATTTTAATGAACACTCATTGGGTTTACATCTACAACTGATTCACTTTTGAAGTTGTTTCAACTCAAGATGGTGCCAACGCCAACTGAGCTTACAAAACACAAAAATAAATATTGTAATGGATCTAATACTTTTATGTTTAAGCAAGTAATTCATGACATCCTTTAATGACCTAGGTTTTCATGACATGCTGTTCATCTGCAGACAGAATGATTAAAGTCAGAACAAGATTTGCTAACAACAGTCATTCTTAGATATCACTTATGTATATCTTTGTGTTTTCCATTGACCGTGTATCAAATCTCGCTAAGATGACATAATGGTGTTTGTTAACATATATGAGGCCACTTGAGACACAGTGTTCAACAGTAGTGTGGAGAGACAGTGACAGAGAGAGAGAAGCAGAGGTACAGAGACAGGCCAGGTTCTCTGTGTTTCCTGTTGTTGCAATAAAACTCAGCTGATCATCTCACGGAGTACCTTCATTCTTGGACCACGTATTTCTGCCTTTGTTAAATAAATATTGCCATAACAAAAATAATTCAGACAATTTCACAAATATTAAGTAAATCTTAGTGTGATAGTGCAGAGTAACACCCAGCACATACTTTGAGACACTTCAGTCACTTGTACAGATATTAAGCCAAAATGTAATGTGGTTGTAGAGAACCACCCATAACACATGCTTTGAAAGYTACAGCATAGTTATTTTTAAGGTTTGACCAAAATGTCTACAATTTAATAATTTTGCCTAAGTTGCTCTTGATCTAAAACTTTGGTAATTAATTAATATTGAACTTATATTTCTTGAAAAAAACTTATTGCAAATTCAAGCATTTTAAATTCAAGCATTTTTTTCTCCTCATCATTAATGTCAAATTGTTTTTCATGTTGTTCGGTGAGCCAACAACGAGTTTSCACATTCGAAGCAGAAAACTGATAACTTCAAAATGAAATAAAGCTAACAATAAATAAAACTGACAAAACTAAATTTTTAACAAACTCCTTGAATTGTAAGGTAATACACAACAGTTAATTTATGTCTTTATCAACACAGCAATAAAAGCACTTTTYCCAGTACCTGTATGGGTGAGACAGCAGCAGCTGGGGGAGTCTTCATGGGACTGGGGCTGAGGGGGGTCCGAGGTAAGGGGGGAGCTGAGACTGTTGGGGCCACAGACGCACCATTGGTAGGTGGACCTACATAAAAAAAATTAATGAGAGGGTAACAAAAATGTCATTAAAAATACTGTTTTCATCTAAAACGTAAGTTTTTTGTAAATTATAGAAATCAGAATGATCATTCTGATGGAATAATTCAATAAAACCAGACTACTGTATTAGATTGTGGTATTAGATTGTGGTACCTTGTGAGGCGCTGTCGAAGCTCTTGATGAGTGTTTTCACGGTGGGGGAGGGTTCTGAAGAGGTGGAGGATCTCCGGCTGAGCCCCATCCCCTGTCTGAGAGCAGCCAGGTCCCGTTCCACTGCATTCATGTAGTTGTACACTCTGCCTCTTTCCTCTTCTTGCCTGGAGACACACAGTTCAAGAACRCACTTAGAACTTCTCTGTCAGCTTCTACGTGTAAAACAGCTTTGCTTCAGTAATAAATCAAACTAAAAGTAGAACGATGACATTAGAATAAGCACGTTATCACAAATATGTGTTTATAAAAGTCCCACGTTTGTTTAGAAAGCCTCCAACAAGACTTCCTCAGGTCATGATGACCAGGGGATGTGTTCCTCGTCAGTCTGAGGGTCTTACTTGCGGCTCTTGACCTCGTCCAGCTCCTTGTTCAGCTTCACGTTCTTCTCCTGGGCTTCCTGCAGACGGCGCCGCAGATCTCCTATTTCTTCCTGTGCCTCTGACTTGATGTCATTAGCGATGACAACAGCGGTCTGCAGATCGGCCTGGAACTGGCGCCACTCCATTGACTCCTCCTGCAGACGACCACAAAGACAGCAGCAGGTGAGCATGATTCTATCCCTTCAGAGTAGTGACTGTTTTCATGAGCAAGATGAAATTCTGAATGACTTCCTGCAGAAACACTAAATAAAAACAGCCCTGACTGAAACTCTAAAGCTTCTCTGAACCTTTGCCCCAAATGTCTGAAGCTGAGCTGCTCCTKAAAACTGGCGCTTTATTAAAACATAACAGAATTTGTTGAGAAGTGACAGAACAAGAGGGAAATGTGTTAAAAATACACATGGCATACACAGCCTATAAAATATATTATAGTCCTTTAAAACGCCTGTTTATTGTGAGCTGGTTTTACAGGTTTTCAGGTTTTTCTTCAGAAGCCGGTTCAAAATACAAACYGCTGAGTTTAAAAAGCTTTGATTTTTACACCTTTAATTAAAAGAAATGTGCTGATACAGAGCTGTGCAACATTACTACTCAAACAAGTTTTAGTTGTTTTACATTTCTCATGTCTAAAACATCAGCAGACACCACAAAACTGGTTCAACAAACTGCAAGAGGGAGAGTTAACGTACTCCAAACTAAGGTCAGGTCCTGATCAGCTGATTATTTATTAGTTTATTCATTTAATTTAAAAAACAAAACTAATTCACACACACACACACGAACACACACACACACACACACACACACACACACA